TTTATCTTTTCAACTATTTCACATAACAAGTTAATCCCCTTTTCATTGTTAGGCAGCTTGAAAGTCAAGTGCAAATACATCAAGGTTTTACTCTTCGTTTTCAAACCAGGCATTAACCTAAAGTCACTTAGGACGAGCACTCCGCAGACTGACAGGAAGCTGAGGACCCAGGGCCCCTGCAGGCCGGGAACTTACTCGCTCTCCTTGAGCGTGGCCAAGATTTTCGCCTGCAGAGCTCTCTCGTTCTCCAGCTCGGTGCACAGGCGCCTGGACACCGCCTGCAGGCGGCCCACAGCTGCACTGGAGTGCCGCGGCAACAGCGGAAAAAGAGTGGGGAGATGCGTGTCAGAGCCTCCGTCATGGAGCAAGTCCCCTGCTCCCTCCAGGCTGCCGGCCCCCAGACCTCCCCACTTAGGCTCAGCGATGCCCTCCCCCGGCCCTTTCATTTCAAGGGGACATCGATGTGCACTGGCCACTGGGAAGGCAAGCAGTGTGGCATCAAGGAACGTGTCCACTTCTTATAGGCAGGTTCCCAGCCTTCTCAGGGGAGCTGACCCCTCAGACTCAGTTCCCACTAGAGACCCCCGCCTCCCCAGCCACGCAGCTTCTGCAGGCCTCTTCTTCCTCTCCAAGGATGGGGAGCCAGTTCCCTGGGTGGCCAGCCTCTCAGAGCAGCAGGCCACTGGGTGTCAGGCCAGGAAGGCCCCAGCACACTGGCCGAATCACTAGAAGCAACTGGGTGGTCAAAAGGCCCCCGAGAGACTGTGACAGCGCGTTCTCTCACTGCGTTTCCCTAGTCCCTCCCCGGCAGATGCAGAGACCCTGAACCCAGTTATGTTTTGAGACACCACCGTTTCATGGGGATGCGGAGATGAGCAGCACAGGTACAGGTGGGGGCAGGGGGCGGGTGGATGGACACAGGCGCACCGCCCCAAGACGCCCCCAAGGGCAGGACACATAGGACCTAAAGTGACACTGCCGAGCCCTGGCTGTGTGAAACTGTGGGTCTGCAGGCACGTGACCGCCTCACCTGGGCAAGCCAGTCCTGATGTCTCCCCTAACCTCCCCCACTGTCCCCTAACCTCCCCCACTGTCCCCTCCCCTCGGTGGCTCCCGGGGTTTCAGATGTTCCCACTGACCGAATGCTCCTTCCTAGTTACTGCATAGCAGCTTGTTTTTGTCACTCAGGTCCCAGCCTGGAGGTCACCTCCTCAGGGAGCCCTCCCCTGGCCACCTGCTTCAAAGTGACCGCCCCTCCTGACCCCACGGCCGCTGGCTTCCTGTCCTTGTGACCACTTGACTCTTGGTGTCCATTCTGGGTTGTGTCTGTTTCGCACATTGGAGGGAGGNAAAGAAGGTTTGGAACTTGTGCCTTTTTCTGGAAATAGGTTCCCTAAGACTAAGCAGCACAGTTCAGAATTGTCCCAACCCTTGTGCCCCTTGGCCGTGTCCCTCTGTGGGTGGCCGACCACTGAGGCCCAGTGATTAGAAACAAGTGCGGAGGAAGCTGGGGTGATGGCGTGCACGTGGGCTCCCAGGGAGGCTCTGGGAGGGGGGAAAGGAGACCGGCTTGGAGGAGGGTGGCAGCTGGGCAGTGGTGGCTGGCGTGGAGGGTATGGGAGGCTGGAGGCCGCAGGAGCAGCTGGGGAGGCCTCAGGGCAGCAAACCAGGTCGCTGGGAGGGGGTGACACTTGGGAGATAAAGACGGATGAAAAGACACAGCCCAGTGTCGAACTAGGAGTGATTTATTAAAGGTACAAAAGGGTTACCTGGCACGACTTATAGTCTTCGTTCCAAAGGCCGGAGATTTCCGGCTCAGCCAGCGTTTCGTCCTCCCAGTTGGCACTCCCGGGGTCCCCCTGGACAGACTCACTGGAGATGCATTTCACTAGATGAGCGTTTTCGAGGTGTGTGAAACCGTCGTCCTCCTGCAGTCGGGGAGAGGAATGCAGAAGTTAATTACAGAAATTGGGAAGCACACACATCAGCAAGGAAGTGAGTCGTGGGAACCCCGGCCGGCTCTGCTCCGCTTGTTCCTGTAGACGAGCACGGCTGCTTTGTAACTGTTTCCGTTTAAAATTCAATTATCTTTGTAGGTCGCGACCCATTTTTTTTCAGTGTCCACACAGGAGCGCATGGACAGTCTAATTTGGGGCGAGCCGTCATCCTCTTCACCCCTTTGCTGCTTCTGCTTTTCCCCGCAAAAAGCCACACCTGGGAAAGCCCTCATGGTTATCAGGACAGAGCGACGGCTGGGCAGCCCACGGGGTACATGGGACTGGAATTGAGGACACAGATGGGGCTGCGTGGCTGTGAGTGTGAGAAGGGCTCCCCGGGAAGCTCACGGTGGCTGGAGTGGGGGCAGGGGCGGCTCCTGGGGCAGCTGGTGAGAGAGGCAGCTGGGGCAGCCTGTGAGAGAGGACGGAGGACGAAGACAGCTGTGTGTGAGCTCAACCCCCAGCCTGGGCAACAGGGAAAGACCTAAAACGCACTCGGAGCAGAGTGAGGACCCCACAGGGCCTGGAAGTAGCCTGAGGGGAGCTGCTGGCAGCTCATTTGTCAGGAGCCAGTGACCTTGACCTTCAGATTTGGGGACACAGCACAGCAGCAGAGGTGTCAAGCCATGCTCAGAAGGGGGTCCTGACGGCTCTGCCCCACACCCTCAAGGAGAGGCAAACGGGTCACCTACCCAGGCACAGAGCCCACCCTCAGTATGAATGAATGAATGAATGAGTGAATGAGTGAGTGAATGACAGGAGAGCTGCCCATCTCCAGGGGTGGTTAAGAGTCTCTGGAGCCAGGTGATAACATGCATGTGGGGTGAATGGGGCACAAATCTGCCCCTGTCCTGTGTCTGACCTGCAGTCTTGGCCTGGCTTTGTTCACTGGGGACGGGTAAGGTGACCGAGCGTCTCCTAGCAGGAGACGCTGTGGCTGTGGGCTCCCCTCCCCCACACACAGAGGTGTGCCTGGGGGCGGCTCCTGTGGCAGACACGGCACAGTGACCTGGGTCTTGTCGCCTTGCACCTGAGCCAGCACCCGGGAGAGGCCAGCTCCCAGGTGGAGCTTGACACTGCAGAGTCCCTCAGAGGGAACCATGGGGACATCAGAACACACACAGCCACCAGTGGGGCCACCTGGCGGGGACACGAGGCCACGGCAGCCGCCCTGGTGAAGAACACGCAGAGCACAGGGAGAAGGAGGCATTGCTTGTTTCTGGGTTCTAGTTGGGGGGAGTTAGGCATCAACTCGAAGTCCTGTCCCCACGACGCCCGGGGCACCTGTGCCAGAGGCCCCTTTGCTCCTTGGAGGGCTCACCACTGGGTAGCAGGGAGCGGCTGTGGCGGCCTTCCCTTCGCAGACCTCGGCAATGTAGCCCCAGGTCCTGTCCCTCAGGGCCAGCCGGGCTGCCGTTTTGGCGAGAGAAGGCAGCCTCCTCTTCCTGCTCTCCTGCGCAGCCTCGTCCTTCAAAATCCGACTCACAATCTCACGCTTTCTGAGCCTCTGCTCCTCCTCGAAGGCACTGGGG